GGTCGTTTGCTACTTTAGGTGATCGATCTCCTTTTTCATTCACCAAAGTTTCTGAATCAGCACCTCGACCTTATCACAATGGTCAGCTGAGCAAGTGACCATTTGGACATATGAAAGGAAAAATGTCAATCATATACCACCAAGAAGACCTCGGCGACACAACAATCTAGAAGAAGTGTGTGCATACCTCAGAGGCCTTGTCTAACAATGTGTCCCCGACTGAGTCCACCAAATACTGTGTCCAGGACTGGCGGTCCCCAGGGAGGACCATGCTGATCGCCAGCTGATGGCTGACGCCTGGAACTGACAAGGAGTCCCCGTCTCAAACACTCCACGTTGGTGGGAAGGTCAAATGAGCAATGAGCGGCTCGTTGTCTTGGGGATCAGACAACCGAGGCTCTGCCTAATGCGACCCGCCTGAGGTCCCCTCAGGATGATGCTGCTCTCTTAGGTGCCGTCGCCAGCAATTTCGTCTTCATGTCGACCTCCATTTCTATGAACAAGAGAAGCAAACGAGTTAGAAGAATGCCAACAAAACTCAAGCAACTTCGCAACTGGCAGACAACGGGAGCATCCATATCGGGGGTAGGACTAAGGCCAACCATCACCAAGGCCTCCTCCTCCTTGACCAAGGGTCCGGTGTGAGTTGTCTCGCCTAGCCGAAGCCGAGTCATTACAGCCTTCTCCTCATCATTGTTGCGTGGCATAATCCTCTCGGTCAATGTATTTGGTCTCCCCCAACTAAACCGAAAGGACCAGCCCTCAGGGCAACTAACAAAGAAGAATTTCTTCTTCCAGTTGTGAACAAATGACGGGTTGTCCACCACCCTTCCTCGTCGTCCTTGGAAGTAAAACAAGTCCTCCTCATCGAGGTGCTTTCATAGTGCGAACAAACACTGAAATATATTCAACGTCACTGTCACCTCTTGAAGATGGGCCATTACCAATACAACTACCGTTGTCCTAATGGCATCGGGGGCGAGTTGGCTAAGGGACTAACCCTATAGTCCCTCGGAATGTAGTACCTCTTGGCCAATGTGCTAACTTGCACCTTGCCAAGATGGGCCATTACCAATACAACCACCGTTGGCCTAATGGCATCGGGGTAACGCCCCAGCGCTACGCCTTGACGCTTAGCCTTGGCCCACTCCTCGGCTGTGGGTTCCTCAACCTCTTCCACATCCACCACATTAAGGTGCCCAAGAACATTCCCTGGGGCGTTAGCCCTCGGCTGCATGGAACCGGTGCTCTCACTAGTAAAGCCTACACTCTACTGATCGCACTCGACCCCACGAGACACGACTCTCTCCCTTAGCACTTGGGCGGTAGACATCCGAGAGGAGCTCTTAGAGTCACTATTATCACTCCAATCAGGAAGGTTATATTCTTCACAACTTGAATCCGAGGCCAACATGTCGAGGACAATAATCCTTAAAGATGTTTGTTAAAGAAAGTTTGAAGGAGTTGGCTGTTGATAGCCGAAGTGTCCTCAGTAGAAGGTTTCGTGTAAATGGTGGAGAGTCGCTCAACTAGCCTCCCAATGTGGCACCGACCTTGGGAAACGAAACCACGCCAAGAGACGGGACTGATTTTCCCATCGACTCTGGATCAAGGATGCGTATAATCGAACCCCCCTACACCGTCTYGTGCACAGCCTCATTCAGTCGACCCCGATGCCCATTCTGGATACAGATATACAACGTCCGTGCCGCGCACGAACATATGACAGGAGACATCAACGCATGTGCAAGGCATGGACAACGGGTGTGGACAGAATATGCTCACACTGGCCACGTTCACGACCCCTCAACCCAAGATGGTCATTTGTTGATGCAATGGGTGAATGGAGGATTAGTTGCCTTTAGACGCTAAGAAGAGCTCTATAGTCGAGGCCAATGCCTCCGCACAAGTACATTATACTCTCTTCGGTCGAAGCCGAGGCCTTAATGCAACCCGCCAAAGAACCTTGATCACTATGGCCTTGAGAGTGGGGAGCAAGTGATGTAGGAGTATTTGGCCGACCCGTAGATCTTGACATGTGGCGTCGATTGGAAGCATCTCGGCCATCCCTCGGACCCTAACACATGGTGTCGGCTGGACGTATCCTGACCACTCATCACCAACCACCACCAACCGCCACCACTTGCTCCTAACTACTACTCTTCTCAGGTGACTGACTATAAAAAGGGGCTCCCACATTGAGGCTAATACAAACTGAAACTTAAGCTCTAAGTCTCCTCTCTTGTTTGGTCTGACCCCTCACAACTCTCAGTTAACTAGACCGTCAAAGTCTTTGCCCTTGGAATAACTCCTAAGGTTTCTAACGTACTTCTTCTCTCAAGTTAGACCTATCGGCCTTGGATGCTAAAAATTACCTTATTACCCTCGTCTCCAAATTTGGTAACAACAATAACAGAGTACTTTGATAGAAGGTATCTTATCTAGCAACCAAAAATTTTATTCTCTCCTTGTTGTTAGTTTTAGTTTTTTCTTAACTTAATCATTATTTTTTGGTGTTAGTTTAAAATCTAGCTGCAGACCTCAAATCTAGGAAAACGTGTAACAGCTTGTTGGGAGTTTACTGTAATTTATTATTCCTAGTAAGCTCTTATAAATTGATAAATCCAATTATGGATGGAAGTCCAAAGTTCATGAGAGGAATTTGCATCGTCTGTCCTTTATGGGACAAAAATTTTTGTCCCATCCTATAGAAAATTGTCACATCACCTTTTACAATTGAAAGTTAAATTTAACGGAAGTTGAGACATAACGGTTGAACTCCTAAATTCATTTTAATTTTGTTAACCCGCCCAACCCATCCCCTCTCTCTCCCAATCACCCTTCTATCACCACCGCTACAACTAGAGATCCAAACAAGCTTGCTGAAAAAACCATCCCCTCTCTGTTTATATTAGTATTCACATAAGCTGGAGAAGAACACTTACTCCGGCTCTGGGCTGTGCACTCTTCAAAACTCATGCTTTCATCTACAAATGCCCTAGAACTATTAGGCAGCTTCATTTCAGTGTTAAAGAACCCATGCATCATTCTTCTGACAAACAAAGCCGGTTTTAACACCCATCCGACCCATCTTTCAGATCCCAAGTCTTATGATTTTAAGGTCGGAATCCCTGAACACACTCACAGATCGGCGATGGCGATGTATTGCTGTCACAGATACTACAAGGGCCACAATTTTTGTAGTCGTCACATTGGTCCTTTTTCTGCTCTTCGCCAATTTGAATACAAGGTATGCTTCATAAACTGTTTTTGGGGACATCAATCTTGTCTCTATCTTGCCATGGGTTTCTAAGCTAGCAACCATCTAAGAGATCAGCCACCTCTGAGAACCTGAAAATTGAAATTCAGGGAGAGAGAGAGAGAGAGGGTTGAACAATTGAACATGATCTCCAACAGTTGGTAGCAACAGTCTCTGGCGGTCAGTGGCACTGGTGGAACTAGATGTGAGAGAGGAGGAAGAAAAAGAAGAGGGAGAAAGACGAGTTCGAGATAGAGGAAGGAATGAGAAAGGCTTGAGAGTTTGGGCGGGTTGTCAAAATTTCAAATGCATTTCATCATTTTTTGAGTCCGGACTACGGTCAGTCCCCCAGTTCCGGTTATACTATAAACCGGCAATTCCTTAAAAAAAGTTGAAAAAGTCAGAAAACCGTTGACCCGAGCGGTCGAACTGCTAAACCGTTCGGCCCGGACAGTGGTTTGTAGGTTATAATTTTTTATTTTCGCTAATTTAATAAAATAAAAAAAAACAAAAATTAAATGACTACCATATCCCCGACCCCAAATCTAACATGCCTAACCCTTCCCTTTTCTCAGCACTCACACCCAACCGACCACCTGTGGCGGTCACACCTATTGTGTCCGACAGCAATACACAGTGACCGACGGTGATTCACGGTGACTGGCGACGGCAGTGAAATTCATCTATGGCGGCAACATTGATTTTGCAGAAGGTCCAGCCGTCCAGCAGTAACAATTGCGATAGTAACAGGCCCGACGACCGACTTGCAGCGACGACCAGGCGATTTTGCAGGGGTTTCTACTTTCTAGCGGCAGTAACAATTTCAGGCTTGCAGTGGCAATCACCTGCCACCAAGCCCAAGCCCACCGTCACACCACCATTAGCGGAAGTGAACTGGTGAAGGACCTTAAGCCTATTTTTCTTACAATTAATAGATAAAGATAATAGAAAATGAAGCAAATTTCTCTTCAACTTGAGATATATACATAAATGTTTTACGAGAATCATATCAAGATCTCATCTCTTCGTTCTAGAAATTCACCCTAGGTAAAAAGAAAAGGAAAATGGCATTACTCCTCTGGCCTTGTTAATAATCATCAATTCCCCAAAAAGTTCGAACTTGTCAATCTCCTCATTCTAGAAATTCACCCTAGTAAAATGAAAAGGAAAACTGTATTGCTGTCATTGATTCCCCAAAAAGTTTGAACTTGTCAATCTCTTCATTCTAGAAATTCACCCTAAGTAAAAAGAAAAAGAAAAGGAAAACGGCATTGCTCCTGTGGCATTGTTAAGAATCATCAACTGAAGTCATCAATTCCCGTCAATCTCTCCAAAAAGTCATTAATTCTGTATTTTTTTCTGTTTTTATTTTATTTAATTTAATTTTTTATTATTTATAAATATATTTTTAATTTTTAATTTATTTATGACATTACAAGCCGAACCGTTCAACCCAGATGGTTGAATCGCTTAACCGAAAACCGGTTCCCTAACCGATTCTGTTTCCAGTTCGTTTTTAAAAACCTTGCATTAAGAAACAAAAAAAAAACAGAACAGCAGAAGACAGGAAAAACAAAAGAAGCAAACAACCCAAGACACTGAAAGAAAAGAGGAAAATAAAAGACACAAACTACTACACTAGTTAATACTTTAAACTGGAAAGAATAATTAAAGTGACGTATTAGTTGGTGGTAATAATCAGTCAACTTTTTTGGTATTTTATTTTGCTCTATGAGGCTACACAACGGAGGTGAGATGGCCCATCCTAAACCCATGACTCCCCCCACTCCCAACAACCCTGTCCCTGGTGCAGGCGGGATTCCATCGCAAGTCGCCGCTATAAGCCAACAACCAGGCGGAGACCTTAGCAACTAACCAGTTGTCGATCGGATTTTGGTGTTGGAATAAGAAACCTTTACATTATTCTGTCTCTTTCTCTTACGAATTTTCCCTATGACGATGTCCCCTGTGTGAGTCTTCTGACCATTCCACTTAAATCAAAGAATCCCACACCTCTTCAATTGATCTTTATCGCTTAATTATCGGGTTCCTTCCTTTTATATCTTCCTTTTCACTCCTCTTTTGGTCTACACTTGTTGCAGTGGAAGCTGCCCTTCGTTCTTTTTTCAAAAATTCAGTTGGGTTCTTCTATCTCTATTTCATCTCAACTACGCGGCTCTCTTTGTCGTATGCTTTTCTTTTGTTGAATTGACGCGTCATTTTTTTATCCAGGTCTATAAATTTCGTTTATGGGTTACAAATTTTCTGAGTTCTGAATCGAGAAAATGGCACAAGGCTATGGAGTTGAGCTATACTTCGACCCTGCACTGGAAAATCAGGTCTTGAAGGCTTGGAACGTCCTTGCTCGTCGCCAGATCAGTACCCAGCTTATTGAGATGGAATCTCGGCCACAAATTACTCTTTTCTCTAGCCCTACCCTCGATCCTCCAAAACTGGAAAATGTTATGAAGAACTTTGCTTCGAAGCAAGAACCGTTGCCTTTGTCATTTTCTTCCATTGCAAGTTTCCCCAGTGAGAACAATGTTCTCTTCCTTGCTCCAACACCTTCTTTTTCTCTCCTTCAATTCCACTCACAACTGTGCGACGTACTGAAGAAGGAGGGCATTGAAATCGGTGAGGAGTACAGCCCAGACTCTTGGGTTCCTCACTGCTCAGTTGCACAACAAGTTCCAAAAAATCGGATGGCCGAGGCTTTTGCTGTGTTGCGGGACTTGAAATTACCTGTTACTGGGTATGCAATGGACATTGGGTTGGTAGAGTTTTCGCCAGTTCGTGAGCTCTACTCATTTCCCCTTGGAAATGCGTCGGATGCATGAGGTACCAGATGGGATTTTCTTCATTTTTTTTTTATTTCCTTTTTCTTTGCTTCTCAGTTTCTTTGAGCTCCAGACTCTAGTTGGTTACATGTAAAATGAGGAAAACGGCTGACTTCCTGAAATTGCTATTTACGAAATTTAGTGGCATGCACAATGGCTGTGGAAAACGAACATTTTTTGAAAGTATGTAGGAATTTTAGGAAAATAGTATTTTTTTTAAGATTTTCCACAAGTCATTTTCCTAACAGAGGTTAGACCTCTCGATTCATATCCTGCAACTCTTTTTTTTTTCAATTATTCAGGTTTTTTTTCCAAGTTAAGCAAAACACCAGGAAACAAACTAGGAATATGACTCGGTTTCCTATTGATTGTCATTTTCCTAGGAAATCCTTCATTTTTCATGCAACCAAATGCAGTCTATATTCATAATTTTTTATTCACATACATTGCTGTTGTGGGAAAGAGTAGTTTATTATGAATAGTGCTTCTTTTTCCTGGTTGGAAATGTTGATGACATTTTTCAAAGGATGGTAAAAGAATGATGTCATTTTTTTAGTTAAATTATACATCTTTAGAAATTTTAGTGCAGTAGTTGCAACCTATGGACAATTTAGGTTCGTGGATTAGGATTATAAATGAAGTTGCTTCTGTGAAAACTTCAGTGAAGAAATATACTTCATAAAGACATTCCTACAAAAGCCACTCTGATGTGGTGTATGTATCATAACTTCCCTTAACTTCTAGCTACCTCCAATGACCCCCTGTCAGACACATTTATAGGTAAGATACCTACCTTTCTCAAATCACAGCTAATAACCATAATAGAATTCTTCCACATGCACCATTACTAATTTTTAAGGACAGACTCTAACCGACCAATTCACCTCCTTAACAAATTTTGATATGACCAAGATAGTATAAAGACAACAGAAACAACAATGCCAGAAATAAAATAGTGCAAGCCAACTAGCAGGGCTTCATTACTGAAGCTGTAAAAAGCTGAAACTTGTGAAGGTTTGACCAATAGCCCACATACTATTTAGCAATTAAATCAAGGTAAGTTAATAGGAAAGCAGAAGAGTAAGGAGGGGGAAGCACTTTCTTCAAAAAGCTTCTATAAACAAGGGGAAAAAATCAGTGCAGGCTTTAGAGAGTTATTTATACGGAAAACCAATTTTAGCAGAAGACGGGAACAGTGGCTAGAGAGAGATGACAAAAAGGTTTGACTAAGAAAGCAATCAATACAGACACCTTTAGGTAACCCATCCGACCTAATAGAAGAAAATGCATTATTCAGGAATTCTCTCACCCCAAAATATCCCATAGGCTCTGCCATTTCATAATATATCTCCAAAGTCCTCCAATAACATTATCATCTTTCAAACCAAGTTGCATGTTCAATTCAAATTTCCAACCAAAAATAATCCTGATCCTAGTGGACCTTCAAGGATCCATAGGGAGAGGCTGTTTAGCAGAATATAAATTTTCAGAACAAAGATTGTTTTTTTTTTCCTAAAACTCACCCAAAATCCATCCGAATTATGTAAACAGAAAAACTTCCAAAGGATAGGTATGATCAACTCAAAAAAATTTCAAATTAAAAACTATTTGATAGAAAAGAAGACAAAGGAAGAGAATCATAAGAACTCCATGTTAGAGGTGACATAGAGGTGGATGTGGATAATCTTCTGCAGTTGAAAGATCAGAATAAGGGTTGGGGGTGTCGGTGCTGATGTTAAACTCCCACAAAAGGCCATGCCTTGTTTCTTAAGATCGTTACAAGTGCTGCCTCTGCTGCAAAAACTAATTGATGGAGAAAAGAGACACAGCTGGAGATAAGAGATTGGAGATGTCAGTAGACTCAGTACTGATGTTAACTCCCACAAAGGTCATTGTCCTGTTACTTGAGCCCTGCTACTAATGCTGCCTCTGCTGAAACAACTAATTCATAGAGAAAAGAAAGATGAGAAAGGTGCTGTCTTTGATTGCAGGATACCTGTTACAGTCAAAGTCTGTACACAAAGAAGAGGCAGAGGTATGAAAATGGTAGCTTTGCTAGTTAGCTAAGCATTTACCATTATTGAGAAGCTCAAGCTTTACTTGTTCATTATCATTGTCTGTTTATTCTGTAGATCCCTGCATTTATCTTTGTAAAACTTCTTCTTGAGTCTCACACAATCAGAGTAAGAGAGAGAGAACCAAACTCTTTGTCCACTATTAAGTGGGATAATGTTGGTCAATGATATGGTGAATGGATAGAGTCGAAGCTAGGATCTTGCATACTGCAGGCAGAAATAAATTGAGCCTGTGGACTAGGACAGGCACATTTCCTGGAGGTTCAGCTATGGGACAACTGTTAGGATATTTTGGGTAGATGGGTTTAAGAGACCGAAAAGGATGGGGGCACTATAGTAATAACACAAATTGTGTTTGTAATTTAATTGAATGTCTGATAGTGGGGCCTTTGGAGATATCTTAAAGTAAGAGAAAGTTTAAGACATTGCCATTGAACTAAGGAGAGGTTTTAGATAATTTTCCTTTTTATTAATATTATACTGATTAATAATGTAAGCATCTTATTTGAATTTTGAAAAGATATCTTTGTTGTTTCTCATAAATTTGATGCCTAAGAAGAGTGGCTTGAATTGACTCTTAAAGTGGAGGATGATCGTTTCAATTTTTGCTCCCTCATTAACTGAAATTTGGGTGATGATAAAACAGTTAAAAGAGGATACGTAGTAATTGGAGCCAAATTGTAGCTTGGTTAAATAACAAATATTGGTAAAAGGATTTTTTTGGGAGCATGGAAAACTGATGCCACTTTGCTACAACTAAGAGTATGCTTATTATTCACTTCCATCTTCTTGAGTTGTATGTATTATTGTGTTAATTTTCTACTTGTATTTGTAGCAATGTTTTCGAACCGCCGTTGACCTTGACAGTCAGACCATTTGGCCTGGGAGCCGTCCAGGCAAGCGGTTCCGTTCTACCCCAAACCCAGTCCCTAGCCAAAAACCGTTGAATTGGTCAACAACCCATTGACCCAGGTGGTCAAACCGTCGACCCGTTCAATGGTTTTTGGCCATTTTTTATTTTATTTTTTTTGTCAAAACGGGCCATCCATTAAACTGGACAGTCAAACCGTTGACCTGGAAACCAGTGGCCAGAATGGTTCCAGTTCGGGTCAGTTTTTAAAACATTGATTTGTAGTGATGGGATGCTCATTATGGTTGACTTCGATTTTCTTCATTTGTTTTCATGAGCATTAAGTTTCTGTCTTTTACATTTTTTTGGCATCTTTAAAACTTTTTTTTTTTTTGAGAGAAAGAATAACTGAGTTGATTAAGAAACAAAAGAAAGGTACATGAGGTGTTGTACAAGAGGAAACCCAAAACAGAAATTACAAAGGCAAGTTTCTGTCACTGTAAAAAACTTCCCTGAAATCAATTATAAAAAAAAAACACTTCCCTAAGAGCGCCAGATCTGGCAAAACTATCAGTGAAATGGTTCAACTCCCTAGGAATCCAGATGAGCTTCACAGTCATGGAACTCAAAATGTCTCTTGTCTCCATCAGAAAGTGAGCAAGCCTCCAAGGACCACTATCTTTCTCCTAGCCAGTTTATGGTGCGAACTGCTGAGTGCTGACAGAATCTCCTTTGAAAGCTAGAGTAAACAATCCCTGTTCTTTTGCTATACGAAGTCCAGTAAGTGCAGATAAAACCTCATCCTTTGTGGAATCAGTAATCCCAGTGGGTCCACTGAAAGCCCACCGAATGCTTTCCATCTCTACACCTCGAATTCCAGCTGTGCCGGGATTTCCCAAAGCACTACCAACTACTGTCTAACCATTCTGCTATTAGTTGGATACCTTGCTACACTTCAACTAAATTGAAAAGTTTCTTATTTTTTATTATTTCTTTTATTTTCTTTCAAAAGGAGTTAAGTGAATTCACTGGTTCAATTGAAATGGACTTGATTGAGTGCATCTTGCTTAACTAGGTCTGAAGGACTGAATTGGCCTCCTGCTACTTGATTGTGAGTTCTATTCTAAAGCCTGGTCCCATTAGAGTTTTGGATGGCAACAGCTTATCTTGAAGGGCATCTCATCTCCTATAGATATTTAGCCCATTAAAGGGCTCAACAAAAGGGGTGTCTGCTTTTGCCATTCACGGGAGYCTATAGAGTGAGAAATAGGTGTATTTTTTAAAGGCAAGAGGTACCTTGAGATAGATTTGATTGGGAAAAAGGAACAAATGATCCAACTTTAGTTCTTAATTTTAGAGGCGGTCGTGATCTTAATTCCTCTTTATTTTTGCAGCCAAGTGATAGACATTATATTTGCTGTTTCTACAGGGGACTGTATATAATTTTGCACAAGGCATATTGGTACAGGGCACATCACCTTATTTTTGATATATCATATAATGAAACAATTCATACTTTGTTTATCAGAAACAATGTATGTTAATCATTTGTCTTTTCCATGGAATTTGTGAAGCATGAGTAGGAGGTTTTCTGTTAATGGCTTGCAACGGCCCAGGCCCAAAACATTACATGGACCTAAAGATAAAAGAGGGTTCTATCAATATAGATACATTTAACCAGGATCATGAAGTAAATTAAATTAAATTTGAACGAACAAAATCAATCTCTTTGTTACCAACAACTGAATGAATTGAAGGCTGGTTTACAGTATATATGATAGCATCCGTCCCTATCCCTTAATCAAGGGTCATCCTATTCAGCAGTCAACTCAGCACTGGCATCAAGAAATCATTCCAGGCGTCGATGGGTCCCGGCAAACACCAATGAACACAATCATTGTAACCTTCCATTCCTTTGTTGTTCCAATGGGACCCAGGGTGTCCATCAGGCCTCATCAACATTGCCCTGGTCACATCCAATGCCTTAAACTTGTTCCCTCTCTTCTCTCCCTTCTTTCTTGCTCTCTCAACCTCTTCCACCTGGATGGTCCTGAGTTCCCATTCCGTACCGCCCAAGTTCAACCCTACTTCACTTAAAGGGCTTGTTCTATTACAATTCCCTCCTGTGTTCCACGTCCCATTCTCAAAATGAGAAGGTGAGAAGGTCCTTAGCAGAGTTACCAGGTTCCTACACTCCTTACAAGCATTGATGAACTTGAGTGTAGTCCGAAACGCCATTCGAATGGCAAACCCCAGCCCAAGATCAGTGACATTCGGTTCATTGCAGAAGACACATCCAATTAGCATGTCACCCTCATATAAGTAGTTCTTTCGGAAGAACCAGTGAGCTTCAGAGACGATGGCATAGTCCACTCCGGGAAGCTTGTCGGCCCATTTCCCGTCGACCTTGTCAAGATGCAGGTCGAACACCCCGGAGAGTGACCCGTTGATCATTCTCTCCTCTCCCATCACCAGGAATTTTGTCCACAAGACCATGAGCGTGAAGCTATAGGAAGGAAAGTACCATGTGCGAAATCTATCTTCCACATCCTTGTACGTGTCTGTTGGAGTCTCCTCCTGCATGCAACATTACATACATTGTCATTGTCATAATAACATACTAGGAAGTGGGAAACTTTCTCTCCCTCCCTCACAGTATCGCCCATCCCTATGTCGCCCATCTCAAAGATCACCCCTCTCTCTCTCTCTCTCCACATTCTCTTCGTAATGAATGTTTTCTCTTTGTCTGTATCTCATTCTCTTATTTTTTTTAATGGTTTTCACATTTTTTTATAAAGTATTTACGGTTTTTAACTTCTTTTACCAAGTCAATAGATGATTGTAACTTACTGGGTTATTGGGATAAAATGGACCTGCGATGATAGATGAACCGGTTCAACTGTTGGGTGGGTCAACGACAGGTTAAAAACATTGGTTTAAACCACTGCCCACCCGCTATAGGTGGAAAAAAAAGAAAAAAGTCATAAAAGAATTAGGGACAGATTACAATTACATCCTACAAAAGCAATATATGTTCACACTACAGATGAAAGAGGTTAAGAATTCCTGGGTCCTAGCCATAAAAGAACTAAGTTAAAAAATAGTAATAATAAAACAAGAACCATATTTATTTACTATAAGAAAAAAGTGACACTAAGAGAGAGAGAAAAAAAAAGTGAGATTTTCTTTTATAAAGTAAAAGGGTATCTTCTTTGGTAAATGTGATTTCTTTATTTTATGGTCCATTAGGATCATAAGACATGATTATTAAAGCAGAACGAGTCAATGGCTCTTGATCCCAAATATCGTGAATCGTGATCTCTCAACAGTAAAGACTTCAATCTGCATTGTTGTTCTACAAATGAAAATCATGGTTTTTATCCCTGCAGAAATACAATTCTGGGTTGATTAGTTTACGTTGTCTAAATACACATCCTCCAATACGTCGACAACTACCATTGGCAATTGGCTATACATAATCGATATGTAAGTTTCAAGGAAGAAATTAAGCTCCAAGGTATTATATTATATGATTTATCATATCTTTTCACATTCATCTATTATCTAGTTTATTGTATTAACGTGTCAACAATACCATGCCTACCGGATGGCCTGATATTCAACTGCCTCACTAATAAAACCGAATTTCAGCTTTAGTCATTAAGGAATTCACAATCTCTTTGATAACTTTTTTTCGTTAAAACACAGAGCAATAATTCATTCAGTTCAACAATTTCAATTGTTATCAAATGGCCTTTGTCTATATTTACTCAATCAAAGAAAACCATACAAGTAATTCAGTGAGAAACGAAAGAATAGCATGATCAAATAATTACTGAAACATTCCATAGGTGTTACAGGTTGTGTTTTCTCTTTGTTCTTTCCCTTTTTTTTTTGTTTGGTGTTGGGGGGGTTAAAGCAAATAAACCCTAAAATTTCTCAATACAGGTGAGTTGGCAGATAGCTTATCATTCTGTTATCCAACCTTACAGTGGTGTTTTGAACTCTCAAATTTTAAAATTTGCATCTAACCAAATTGGCTTGCATTACTACAAGTTTCACATCAGGTTAAAAGATTACGAGAATCATGTTTTAATCTATCTAGCTAATTTTAAAGTAGATGACATGATAAAAATAGCCTATAAAAATAATGATGGTGATTGGTGACAGCCGCAAGAATTCTCGTGGTGATGAACTAAAGGTGCCAAACAATGCTTAATGAATGATAGCAGGCAGAGAATTAAGAGCAGTTACTCTTATGTATACGTACGAGAGAAGAACTGAGACTTACTTGAGATAAGAGACAGAGAAGCGATTCCATTTGGTTCCGAGCAACCGAGTCTCCAATAAATGCTAATTTTTTCCCTCGAAAAAAAGTCAGGAAGGTCTTTGGATCAAACCTTGGAAGTTCGCATTGATCTGGCTTCCATCTCCAGTACACAAAATCGGAATCCTTCCTGCCATACTTGCCGCAGTTCTTCGAGTCGGGTATGGTAGGACAACTCCAGTTGGTATAAAGCGATCCTTGCAGGTCTGGAATCCATCGACCCGTGAACAAGTCGCACTGCTCATCGTCTAGACAACATATGCACAGAAACCATAAAAATTCATGAAAAAAGAAATAAAGAAGAAATGGTTACAATACAAACAAGCAGGGACGACGGGTTTTTAAGTGTGTACACTTATTGGATTTGACGATGAGAACATTTTGACTGGGTTGTTCTTCTTGGCGCCTAGTGGCCCTAAAAAACGGATTTGGAGAATACAAAAAGAAGAAGATGAAAATGGAGGTGAAACACAGCAACCATAATAGGAAAAACCCTAATTTCCCTGTGTTCATGCATCTGTCTTTCTTGAGTAGATGGCGAAAGAATTCTAAGGTTATTGCAGGAGAATTCATCTTCATTTTCATCCTCATGGGGAGAGGGAGAGGGAGAGGGAGAGAGAGATGTGTCGCATGGAATATGAAGAAGCCTTCAGCCTTGTTTTGAGTAGATTTGCTTTGCCTTAATTAACAAAGGTGACGTAAGGGTAGATTCTCTGTAACCCCGCTTGTGTAGGAAGCATGGAGGTCGTGAAGGAAGGAAGGGAGATGAAAAGGGAGGGTGGTGAGTGGTGACAGATCACAGACTGACAGTAGGGCGAAATTTAACGCTTGCCGCGTCATTGGCACACGTGGATTCAGTTGATGGTGGACGATTGCATGGAATTCTGTAATGGGGAGCTTTATTCTTGCCCTGATTCCACGGCGTAATCTTCTTTCTTAGTTTGGAAATCTGGAAAATGCACTTTATTGGACTCTCGCTCTCGCTCTCTCTCACGCACCCTCCGGGCTCCAGCTATGCTTGGTTGATTATTTATTTCATGGTTGAAGTCTGACGAAAGGGGGTTTTGATCATACACGTTAAGAGTTTGGGGTTGGGGTTATATGTCATCCATCCATCTATGTTTTATGACGGTCAATTATTACTTTATTAGGGTAGGGTGTATTCACTGCCAGCATAAAATAAAAAAATTGTAGTCATTATATTGACTGCATTAAATTAAATTTAGATCACAACCAATTACATTATAGTCTGTTTATTTTTTATAAATTATATTTTTTTCGATGTATTTATCATCTTATTCAACCAATTATGTCTTATAAATTATTAAAAAAGTTATTAATACAATATTATATCAACTATCAAATTAATTTCTCTGTCCCAAATGAATTCTTATCACAAGATTTTCTCTACACATGAAGTTATGCTTACCCGGCCCTAAATATAAATCTGGTGAAGACTCCATTTTGTATTAATACATAATAGTCTTATCAATAAAAAAAGAAATTCTCCTTGTATTATTTAATTTATCTTTATTATTCCAATTGGAATTTAGCGTCTTACAATCATGCTGCTTAAATAGACAAATATTAATTAAATAAATATAAAAATTAAGGAGAAATTTTTTAAAATACAATTAATTAAATTACCAAAGCAAAAGAAAAACACATTTCATTTTCAATGAAGCTCTCCTAAACAATGACAACCATCAATGGAAAATACCAATATTGATTGCCTAAAACCAAAAAGAAAAAAAAAAAAAAAAACAAAATTAATTTTAAAAGTGATCGGGCAGTAGTTGAAAACAAATGGAACCTAGTGAGAATGATCAGTTCGCATTGAAAGAATTCTTTTTAAAAAGATTTTGGTCCGGAATCCCCAATTGTAACGGAAAATTTAGAAGAGCCCACTGCTCACATCAGTAACTTCGCCAGAAAATTAATGGGCCGGCTTCAAACGTGATGGATATTGAGAGAAGATGAAGATCTATCAAGAGATGCCACCTAAAAGGGAGGCATGCACAAAGTAATCAGCATGATCACATGCCATTACACAAATTTAATTGATTCATGCATCATTTTCACAGCTCAGCTTTTTGACTACTCTCCATATCTTTGCTTAATTAATTTAAAACTACAGATTTTGCTTTAAGAATTTAAACTGATTTTTAGGCTCAATTGACCTTGAGAGTGGGAAGTTGGAAGCATTTGATGGTGGGTCTTGACCATCACAATCCAAAATTGACTCGTCATTAGCACACACGAATAAGCTAGATATTCTTACAAGTAGTRCGTTCTGATTGGGCCATTTGGCAAGATTCAACTGCTACCTATTGTTGAATTATGGATTTCATTATTTTATTTTCATGTTCATTTTATGGAAACATTACTTGCGGCAAGCCTGCATTGATAAAATCTTGGCTTCACAGGCCTAGAATAGTGAATAGTGTTGGGAGTTGCTGTGAAGGTTGGGTCACTGTTCTGCTCCAGCCCAGTAGCCCACTCCTCCCAAGGCCTAGACGAATTAATTATACGTGCACATGGACCCTGCAAATTGAGCCCATTATTCTTTACAAAATAGGCACATGGTCCTCTCTCTCTCTCTCTCTCTCAACGSTATTATATTCCTCTGTAGGAGTTCTTACGTTTAAATATGCTGTGAAAGAAATTTGTTTTTTGTTTTTTGTTTTTTATTTTTTGGAAATCTACAAGTAATTTGCAACTAAGGCTGCATTTGGAAAAGATGCAAATATGTAAAGTGTAAAATGGATATAAATTGCAAAATTAGGTTAGTTTTACACTGATAAATTTACCTTCTTACCAAACAGATTTTTAACTGTAATGGATGCAAACATGAATTCCAATAAAGCAAATGCTTTTCTTTTTTTTTTTATCAAAAGCCTACTTGAATGCAAATTTACTTCTTTTCTATTGATATACTTTTACATCTTATTATCAATGTAAATATGCATTGGTCTGTCATTTGTCAATGCATAAATGTAATATTGCCAAACACGGGCAAAAGTGATCCAGAGTACAAATTTACCCTGAACCGGGATTTACACTCCATTTGCATCGTTTCCAAAACGCAGCCTAAGGCTGAGTTTGGAAAGAGAACAAATACAAATATATACAGTACAAATACATACAAAACAATACAAAATACAAAGTTTTTTCACTCTACATATTTGCATTTGTACTCCTTCCAAACTGAGCCTAAAAGGTTAAAAAGAAAGATAAAGATATATAGCTCTTTAATGCGTTATCAGTATATAGACTCTATACAAAGCCAAACCTAGACCAAAATTAATAAGACGCCAAGCTTGGGGCTGGGCCCAGGCTCTGCGGGCTTGAAGGTTGAACCTGGGTTGCAATTTCCATCCCATGGGCTGGGCATGACCCAATTAAAGTCTGGCTCATGTGCACTACCATTCCATTTCACTTGTATGTTATTATTTCCAACGATTAATACTGAAAAGATTAGCAGGATATTAGGGCCTTGTTTGTTCTTTGTTTCTGCAAATCGGCTATTACAGTAAATTCATAATACGCACAAATCCATCCTCTGCTGTATCCTGCATGTTTTGGTTTATGGTCTCTAACACTAGCAAGTAAAATCGTGGATCTGAGTTTCATCGTTCTTATCTTTTCTCAATGTTCGGGTTAGGGTTGAGAAGTTCGTAATTCAGATTGTATTAGCGTTGGGACTAAGGTGGCCGTATGACAATGGCTGAATATATTCAACTGAAAGACAATGCAATAAACCATTCAATTGAGCTACAGTACAATTCCAGCGGTTATAATCCAATGCCACCACCGTATGCAGCTCTTAAGGCACAGCACAGTTTGTTTCTCAGGGTACGGTGGCCTGAGAATCTTTTTGAGTTTGCAATAAACAAGGTTTAGAAATTAGAATCCCTAAATTTTGCAGTAAAAACATTCAATCAAGTTGATGGTTTCGATTTTCAAGGTAGGACTCCTTTCGCCTCTCTATCTCCATTTGTTTATTTCTCTATTATTCACTACATCTATTCAGGTCGAGTTCTAACACCATCCAGCACTTTTACCTACAAATACAAGGCACTTGGGAAAGTTGAAGGGTTGAAACGAACATCTTGGGCAAGGCAGGTAATTGGTCGGTGGATGTCCATCTCTATGAATTATGATGACATGGGTTCTCTGGAAAGCACTCCTAACATGGTTGATAAACACTATAATCAAATCTCCATTTGATTTCCAAAGCTCCTGCAGGAGGGGTTTCTCCCTGACTTAGAAGATGAAAGGAGAACAGGATTGTTCCTAATAGTGCCTTATTTCAATTCTTATTGATGGTTTTTTTTCTAGACAGCTATAGTTAAGACTTGAGAAAACATTGTTACTTATTCAGGAGATGGATGATAAGGGGTCAGCTTCCTCTCATTGATGCTCTTGGAAAAGCAAAACGGTATGAAGCTGCTACTTTGGATGTTCAAATGCTTGGATGTATGCTTTGATGATCAAAAACTTTGGGAGATGTGATGTGGGTACCTCACTGAGGCTGTAGACCTTTTTAATGAAATGAAGTAACTCTGATGCAATCCAGATGCCTATGTTTATAATGCCCAACTGTCAGGGATGGTGAGGGCTGTTCCTATGCATTAATCCACATGCTTATAATACCAGGAAATCTTCTCAGTTTCACCATATGCATATGGTAATGTGGGCATGTCTCTATGGAAAAACAAAGTTTTTTACTTGTCCACCTGGAACCAAATTGTAACTTGGTGAGATTGGTTTTCTGTTTCCATAATGAAGTGTTGACTGTTGAGAAGAGAACACAACATACAAAGAACATTTGTATATCTAAACTTTGACACGAGGAACCCAGTAGCAACCTTTAAAACCCAAATTAATTTATCCACTTCTTGAATAAGCTGGTAGGCAGAAGAAGCACCAAGTTCTGCAAGCACCTGGATGTTTAAAGTATCAATCTTACCACAGAACTCTCTGTCCAGGGAGTCGAATGGAGGGTACATGTGGCCTGAAAGTTCTCCATCCATAAATGGAGGGGTAGACGATAAGTATTTTCCTTCTTTTTCTGGTGGAACCAATTTAACCAGTGTATCCTAGTAAATTTCCTTTTCAATAGAAGATCCAAACTACTTTTTTCCCACCAGGGTTGTGGATAGAAACTTAAGGTTTGTAGTAACTGCTTGGGAATGTTTGACATTGTACTTTGGGCTCTACAGGGGAAATGCCAATCTACCAAAGGAGGTCCCTCTCATCACATCGAGATGTGTGTGCATGTGTAGGCAACTAGGAACAAAGCCATTGTGATTTTATGAGGTTAATAAATAGCAAAGTGACAAAAAATAATACATTGGATTGGTTAGATTACTAGGACCATTTGGATGTGTTGTGCAAGAAAGGGAAGCATGAATTTAATGTAATTTCCAACATGTTTTTGCCAGGAGAAGGAAAAGAAAAGAGAAAGCTTCCTTGGAACTTACATCAAGCATTTAACTTGTCCATGCCCAGTATCTACAATCTCTTAGAAACAACTAAAGAATGGCTTCCTTACTAGAATTTACTTGTATCATTTCCCATTCAAATGATTTGTATGCATTACACAACCGAAAACTTTCTAAAGCAAGACTGATTCCTTGTACCATTAAATCACTTTTCCTATGATCAGGTCTCTCTTACCATTACCAGTCACCCCCCTTCTTTTAATCGGAAGGGGGAGTCTAAGAATGTAAGACGAACCAATCAATCATCCATCTATTCTTTGTTCTAAAAGCAATTACACAGCATCCGCATATAGAAATTGAAGAAAGCAAGAGTCACAGAGAAGCTCTCTCACCTTGTCTCTCTTTTACTTTCCTGGTTTGGAAATGCATGAACTGGCCTATCTCATCCTTGTTTCCATGATTGAACCTCCCATCTCTTCATCACCTCTAACAGTATTGCATTCCAAATATCCGTTGGCCCCGGCAAGCACCAATGAACACAGTCGTTCTGCACACGCTCTGGGATGCCATTGGCAAAGGGGAAAGGATGCATATATGGACCAGGGTGAGCATCCGGTCTCATCCATGATAATATGGTGACATCCAATGCCTCGAACCTCAACCCTGGGAATTGGTTCCCTTTCTTCATGGCTGCCTCCACCACTTCTATCTCTATCTTCCTCATCTCGGCATCCATTGGCTGGAGCTCTTTCTCTCCTTCCATGAAGGGCTCTTTCTTCGGACACGCTCCTGCTTTGTCCCATTCGCCTTCAAAATGCGAAGGAGAGAATGTGGTCACAATTACATCAATTGCATTGCTATTGGTACCACGCCTGCTGCTTATTACAGTCTCAAGGGTTGTATTAAAAGCCTTCCTGAAAACATCATAGAAACCGATCTCTGTGTGGTTGAGCTCAGGGCAGTAATGGCAGCCTAGAACTGAATCATTCTCGAAATAAACAGCAGGGTGGAGGAACCAGTGCCCGATTGAGAAAACTATTATGTCCATCTGCCCCATATCTGATGCCCATCGGTCGTCAACAGAATCCAAATACAATCTGTTATAATTGACACCCGTGTTCGATTTTTCGATTCCTTTTACCAAGAAGGGTGACCAGTAGATTGACACATTGGTATTGTGAGAAGGAATGTACCATCTCCGGAACTTGTTATCATCCCCGTTTCGGTAGACAAGATCGGGGGTAGAGACAGTTGAGAGTAGGCAGAGCAAAGACTCCAACTGGTTTCTAGCCATGGAATCGCCAATGAAGGCCAAATGTTTGTTCTTGAGAAGTCGGAGGAAAGCTGTGGGATCAAACCTGGGGAGTCCGCACTGTTTGGGTTCCCACCTCCAGTAGAGATAATCAATGTCAGGCCTTCCATGGCTGATGCAATTCTGACCTTCCTTGATTGTAGTGCAGCTTGTGCCATTATAAAGAGGACCGGATTCGTCGCGTACCCATTTGCCATCGTTGTAGTCACATGGGGCTTCGTAAAACACTTGCTGCTCTACTGCAAAAAGGAAGACATGGAAGAGGGTTTTCTCCTTAGTGACAGAAAAACATAAGACAAGGAAAGAGAAACCAGAGCAGCAACATGACAACCTTATATGGGTTTTTAATAGAACGATATCATGTTGACGGAAAATTTACCTTGAGAGGAAACGATGATTGGCTTATTTTCGGGGATTTGATCGGTTAGAGATTGTTTTAGAGGGAGAGGATAAAAATAAAAATGGAGGAGAGTTAAGGGAAGGAGAGCATAGAGAGCCCAAGTTATGAGCTTCTTGGTGAAGAATAGAGGTTGGCTTTTGAATGGGTTGGTCGTACCCATCTCATATCTATCCTCTTCTCTTCCGGTATCTTTCCTTCTTTCTTTCTCTGGGCTGGGTGTTTTCTGCGTGAAGAATCAGTCCGAGAAGAAACTGAGCTGTCCTGAAAAAGTGGCTGTTTTTCTGGGTCTGGGGTTGCTGAAGGGGGAAGAGCAGAGGAGATGCAATGGATTTTGGGTGGAGGATATAATAAGGCTTAGTGGTGATGGAGATTCAGTCAATGACACGGAAAATGAAAATCTCATGGATAAATAATGTAAGATTGGTTTGGACAATTGGCCTACAACCTACCCTTCTCTCTTTCTATCTCTCTCTCTCACACACTCTCAATGGTTGTCGGTCTCACTGCAGTACTCGTCTCTTTTTCCATTCCATCTCTCTTCCAAGTTAAATTCACTTTCAAATAACTGGTGCCGTCTTCTAAGCCACGTGGAACTGCATTCATTTTTTGGAAAATTTTCGATTAGTACTTTGGGCCTAGTGTAATTTTGTTCCTCAAACTTTAAAACCTGACAGTTAAATATCCGAAATTTAAAAACGTTTTAATTCATTACCTATCGTTAATCAGATAAAAATGTTTTTAGTATCATCTAATTTTCTTTATTAATCATCTAAATGTTGACAAAAAATTAATAATTTTAAATTTTTGCTTCTTCTATTCAAGAAAATTGGAGAAATGCCTTAATGGACATTCTGGACCCCAATTTTCTTGAATAAAAGAGACAAAGATTTAGGACTGTTAACTTTTTATCAATATTTAAATGGTTAATAAAAAAAATTAAATAATACTTAAAAGACATTTGTATTTTTTCAAAAACCATTAAATGACTAATTAACAGATGGCTTTAATGATAGATACTAAATTAACACATTTTAATAGAGAATGACATTAGACTCAAAGAACATGGAAATAATAAAGAATTTTCACTTCATTTTTAGTCTTATCAGTCAGTTTGTGCTTTGTTTGGGAGATATTCTCAATTCAAGGCTATAATGGGTGTTCTAACGTGTTTTGCACTGATTGAATCTGTTTCCCTGCATCCAGTTCAGGTGTTTCCTGTACGAGTGCATCAACTGTATATGTATGCATTGATAAACAATACCCTACCATTAGCATGTCATGTATGCTTTACATATAATGACAACGGCTGAAGTTGATGAACTGAACGACTTGCAAAGCAATAAGCTTTTTCAATTCAGCCACCGATGATGATGATGTTGTATGAAGGCAACATGATGATAATATGAAAGCAGTTGCGTACATTAGGCAGCTATGGCGTTATGATTGATGATAATAGCAAGTAGGACGCTTCAAACGTATACATCAATGAGTCTTGTACAAGAACTCACGAAGGTGGGACTGGGAACGTTCTAAGGTTTTCCAGTGCAGGCTGTACTGAAAACGTGTGAGTTTGTGATTGGTTGGTACTTGTACACGTTTCCTGTGATTGGTCGGTACCTTCCACCTAGATCTATCTTTACAAATCTATTTATTTATAATGCAATGTCCTTCTTTTAATGTGCCTTCGCTGCCTCGTGGCCCTCGTCGTCTTTCTCTTTGTTTTTTTCCCTCGATTTCTTATATATTTAAAAAATATAGAAAAAAAAATTTCTCACATTGCGGACCAGAAAGAAGAGAGTACCGGATTGTTATGATAATAAGTCGTCCCTCAATAAATTAGAAGACAGTGGTGATAATTCAGCGTTCCTCACATGGGCTCCTTGAGATCTTCATTTGTTATTTATTTATTTTTTTCAAAAAAAAAAATGCTTAGCTGTCAGTGTCGCGTGTCCATGTCCAAACAATACAAATGTCAATAATGTCAAATTGTTCCTAATTAGTACATGATAAAGATAATACTATAATAATAATAAGGTAAAATATAAAAACTTCCTCCCTCGGAGGTTTTCGATAAGGGTTTCTGGTTTAATATAATAAAAGTAATATAATTAAAAAAAGATTAACTTTTTAAAAATAATATAAAAGGCAAAAACACTAATCATCTTCTTCTTCTTGCCCTTTATTCATCAGAGCCGCTGCTCGCCACCACCATCTTCTGTTGCCCACCGTCGCCTCCAATAACATTATTGGAGGTGACGGCGGTGGCGCTAGTGGTTTCTCTGTCCAATGCCGCCACTTTTGCCCACCTCCACCTTCACCTCCGCCTTCGGCAACATTGTCGGAGATGGGCAGAAGTGGCGGCGTTGGATAGAAAAACCACTAGTGCCGCCGCTGCCACCTCTGCCTCCGGTGAACAAATGGTAACTCTAGTGAACAAATGGCAAGAAGAAGAATATAAACAGTGTTTTTACCCTTTATTAATATTATTTTTAAAAAGTTAACCTATTTTTAAATTTTTTTTTAAATATATTACTTTTATTGATATTAAACCCCAAAAATTACTCTTATATGCTATTACCCCTTTCGACAATCATAAAAACCTCTCTTAACAAAAACCTCCCTTAAACTTTCAAAAAATTCAACATAAACCTCCCTCCTTTCTGTTATTAAGCCACACAAAAAAAAAAATGTTTAGCTGATACGTTATTTTTTTAAAATACCTATTTTACCCTTTTGTATATGATCTTATATATAATTTTATTAAAACTCATTAATGGTTAGACAGGACATAGAAACCCGTGTTGCTTTGGGATCTATTCATCTAAGGTTGAGTCCTCGACCTCGACGACATGAAAGCAGCAAAAACTAATAGCGGCTTTGGTGTCCGGAGAAGAAAACGTTGGCTCCCTTGGTCAAGGTTCCAAATGAAGAAACCAACACCACCAAAATCGTCCCCGTTGATGCTCTTCATCACCACGATGAAGCAACCAACGTTAAAGACATTGGGCTGGTTATGGATTCTTTTATTGCGTAATTTGGCTTGTAAAACCAAAGTTTTTCTAGTTTGCTTTTTCTTATTTTCATTCATTGAAGATTTAGATATATATACACAGTCATACACAACCATCGAATATCGAATCTCCTAAATTTACAGGAACTCAAACTCAAAACGAACTCCTAATTCGATCCTAACTCAGCGGAGTCTCCTAATCCCGGAGACTCCCAATTCAATCCTAACACTCCCCCTCAAGTTGGAGCATGCAGATTGTGAATGCCCAACTTGCAAAGAAAATACTCAAATTCTCTACGACCCAGTGCCTTTATAAAAATGTTTGTCAGCTGCATGGTAGTCGACACATAAGCAGGACGAATGCAACCATTTTGAATCTCATCACGAACAAAATGGCAATCAACTTCAATATATTTTGTACGCTCATGAAACACTGGGTTTGCTGCAATATGCAAGACTACCTGACTATCACAATATAATCTCATTGGGTTCGAATGCATCACTCCAAGGGCCAATAACGAGCCACAGTGTGTTGTTTCTTAGTTTTCTAGGAAATCGGCGATTTCCCAAGTAGAATAAACCACCTAGACAGGGAACGTTGGGACAAAGGACAGCTCGCCCAGTCTGAATCACACTATGCATATAACTGCAAGTCGTCTGAATCACACTATGCATATAACTGCAAGTCACAATCTGAACGCAAGAGAATTCCTTGACCAKGATTTYCTTTCAAGTAGYGCACCACTCGCAATGCAGCCTCCCAATGTCTTTCTTGTGGTTGCTGCATGAATTGGGACAGAACGTGCACACAATAAGATAACTCAAGACGAGTTGCTGAGAGATAAATAAGCCTGCCCACCAAGCGCTTGTATCGCTCAGGATCAGATAAGAGAGGCCCATCTGTCAAGGCCAGATTGTGATTCTGCTCCATAGGAAAAGGAGCAGGTTTTGCACCAAGTAATCCAACTTCAACGATAATATCCAGAGCATACTTTCGTTGAGACAGAAAATTTCCTATTGAGTTTCGGGCAACTTCAATGCCCAGAAAATATTTCAATGGTCCCAAGTCTTTCATATGGAAGCAGTCACTCAAATATTTCTTGAGGACTTGAATTGCCATATGATCATTACTTGACACGATAATGTCGTCCACATACACAAGGACAAGCACATGTACCCTGTCTCGACGAAATGTGAATAGGGAGTAATCTGAACCTGATTGCTGAAACCCATATGTCTTCAAGGTTGTGGTTAATTTAGCAAACCAACATCTCGGCGCTTGTTTCAAGACATACAGAGATTTTCGCAACCGACACACCATACCTGGTTTGTTTGACTGAAAACCAGGAGGCATTCGCATGTAGACTTCCTCATGAAGGTCACCGTGCAAGAATGCATTATGTACGTCCATTTGATGAAGCTCCCAATTTCTAGCTGCTGCGACTGCAAGAAAAGTACGGACAGTAACCATTTTTGCAACTGGGGCAAAAGTTTCATTATAATCAATTTCCTCAACCTGCTTGTTCCCAAAAATCACGAGACGGGCTTTGTATCTTTCCACTGTCCCATCAGCGTTGTACTTGATTCGATATACCCATTTGCATCCTATGGCTCGTTTTCCAGATGGCAAAGGCTCTACGGTCCATGTCTGATTATTCTCAAGTGCTTGTATTTCTTTCTGCATTGCATCCCTCCACTTTTCATCCTTTATAGCCTCAGCAAAAGAAGTAGGTTCAACTCCTGCAGTAATAGCTGCCAAGAAAGCACGATGTCGACAAGAAAAATTGTTACAATTCACATAGTTATCTATGGGATAAGGACTACCTGCAGGATGTGATTGGCTGAGTGAGCTTGCAAAGGGACGCGGAGAGGGACTCAAGCGCTGTGTGGTGTGAAGCACATAGTCTCTTAACCTTGTGGACTGCTGCTTCTGTCGATGCCCACGCCCTAAATGAGAATCAGAGTGTTGTTGTTGCTCAACATTGCCACCCCCCCTGACGTCAAGACTGTCTTCGCTTGTATTTTCTGTGGTGACGTCAGAAGAATGCATGGGTTCACTAGTATTGGCATTTGGGTCTACATGGGTTCCTTCTTCTGCAAATTCACCTCGCTGGTTAGTCTCCATCTCGCCATTTGCTTGTCCTGGTAAATAAGTGGACAGCACCAACACCTCATATGTCCCACCTATTCCACAATGAAATTGGCATTGTGCTTTGTTTGGTTGTTTATCCTCCTTGCGTGCATAAGGGAATTCATCCCCTAAAAGAGTAACATCTCTTGATGCAAAGAACGTGTCGGACTCTAAATCATATAAACTCCATCATTTCTTTCCAAAAGGATACCCAACAAAAACACACAGTCTGCTTCGACTGACAAATTTATCCCCTCCATGTCCATGATTGTACGCATAAGCCAAACAACCAAAGACTCGCACATTATCATAAGAAGGAGGTCGCCCAAATAAAACTTCATAGGGAGTTTTTCCCTTCAACAGAATGGACGGTGTCCGATTGATCAA